TTGGACCAGTCCATGCCCCAATTTTGCCTACCAGTGACTAGGCTGAGAATCACAATAGAGTCCTGGAGGTTGAGAGACAGCCTGCATCTGCCTCCCAGTTGCTCATGGGTCTCCTCCACTCAGATGCCCATACATAGCTCTCCTGCCTCATCTGCTTCAGTAGTGTCCAGTCAAAGGATTACTCAGAGCCTCTTCCAGTTCATGAAGAAAAAGAACAGGTAGTGGGAAAGGACATCTAAGAAGACACACCACATGTTAGCACCCATCTGTGTCAAAAGCTATCCTCTGCCTGAACAAGTGGGTTGGGTATGAAGTTTCCCAGCAGTGAAGTAGAACTCCTAATTCTGGCTTGAGCAGTACAAACTGAAGACAGCGATCTATGCTGCAATCTGCTGATTGTAGAATATCTCTGAGGTAGGGCTAGAGAAACACTACAGGATGACTAGGAATATTAGGTCAGCTCAGGAATGCTCTCTTCTGGCTTATGCTGCCATGTTGACTATCCAATATGGCTGAAATAGCAACTGGAGTTGACAATAGAAAAAAAATAACACTATTTTTAAAAATATTTTATTTATTATTTTATGCATATTGCCTGCATGTATGTAAATGTACCCATGTCATGCAATGCCCACAGAAGTCAGAAAAGGGAATCAGATCCCCTGAAACTGGAGTTACAAGCAGTTGTTAGCCACCATGTGGGTTCTGGGAACCAAACCCCAGTCCTCTGCAAGAGCAGCCAGTACTCTTAACCATTGAGTCATTTCTCCAGCCTGCACAAAAGAAAATTACTTTGTATAATTTTTATTCACTTTAATCATCTTTATACCCTCTCCTCCATCTGCACCCTCCTATGGCCCCTTCATGGATCTCATCCATTCCATCATTTATGTTAAGACCTATCGAATCAAATTAGTGTACATCTCTCAATGCAAGTTCATCCACTGGGGTCTAGTCAGCCTATCTAGCATCTCTCCCTTAAAGAAGATCAACTCTCCCTCACCTAGTAATCAGCTACCAATAGTTCAGCTAAGGCTGGGGTCTGCAGCCCATTTCCCCAGTTCTATGCTGGGTTTTTGTTTGTTTGAGTTTACATGGGTCTTGAGCATGCTGACAATATTGCTGTAGGTTCATATGACCAAGGTCCCAGGAGCCTGTAAGACTCTCTTTCCACATGGTCATGAACTTCTTCCCCTGACTCTTAAAATCTTTCTGACCCTTCTTCTGCAATGGCCTCTGAGCCACTGGGTAAAGTTGGGTGGGTAAAGTTTAATATAGGAGTCCTGTCCAGGGACCCACACTCTACAGACTCTTATTCTCTAAACTTTGGCCATTTGTATCCTTCTACATTGTCCTCTGTTGCTTGAGGAAGCTTCATAGATGAGAGTTGAGAGATGCATTAGTATTCTCTCTACCCTTTATTCCACTATATTCCATGAGTTTTAAGTGTAGAGGTTTCATTTTAGATGTGTCACTTAGGGTTGGGCATCTCACAGATACTTATTCTCTGTGTGTGACCAGTTGTAGAATTCTGTAATAATCTCTGAAAGTTGCAAAAGACAGTTCTTTGATGAGTGGTGGCTGGCATATTTGTCTGAAAATATAAGGATCAATATTTAGCACATAGTAAGAAATTACATTCGTCTAGGGATATGACAGCATTGGGGTTTTCTCTAATGTAGGAAACCAGGATGCCAGGCCCTAGGGTGAGATGAGCCTAAAACTTTTAAGTCCAGGCTGCATTCTCTGCTAAATGAAGGGGCACTGAAAACAGTAGCTCTGATAATCCCTATCCTGCAGAACACTGTGAGTCTGGCAGGAGAAAGCAGCCTGGTCATAAGTGCAGGCTCCTTCCTCTGTGGGAAAGCATCTCGGTCAACAGCATCTCCCTGTCCTGAACAAATAACTCAGCTATCATTGGCTAAGAGATTAGGCCAGGTTAAAGGTGTACTCCTGAGCTAAAAGCTAAACATTTACCATGGTTTTAATGCTAAGAAAGAAAACGTTGTGGCCAATAAATTACCAGATGGACATTGATAACCTTGAGCAAAAATTTAAGAACCCTTCTGGTGCCGACTAACAGACTATATGTCCTGTTTCTTTGTGCCCTAAATCTTTGTATGTTACTGCCATATACCATGTGACTGCCAGTTCCTTGTGATGTATAAAAACCATCTGAATTTTGTAATAAACGGCTTATGTGAAGGAAACCAAGTCCAGAGTTGTTACTCTGTCACCCATCAAGTCTTTCTGCCCCGAAGCCAGTAGGTCCCCTGCTGAGGAAAGCAAACCTGAGTCCCAATACTCTAAGATGTAGGGTTTTCTCTCCAGTCATGTGAATTTGACTATGTTTACAGTACCACACGAGTTCCCTCCCACTGAGTGGGTTTTAAGTTCAATTAGATAGCTGTTTAATGCCCCCAAGATTGGTGCCACTATAGCACCAATATCATTTGCTGTGCCAGTCATTGTTGTGGTTATTAAACCCAATCAATTGGACCACCAATTGGTGTTCTCCCTTAGCAGCTTGCATAGTATCCTATGAAAGCTAGCCTTCAGGGAGGTGGCTTCCAGGTCAGTTCCAGCTCCAAGTCCTATGTCTGAAGTATGTCCTGTCTTTAGCAATAGGGTCTTACCTTCAAATTCTGGGAGGCAATCAAGGGCTGTGACAATAGCCTGTGTAATTTTGGGAGTCTCTTGGACTACCCTGGCCAACAACTCAAAGGGAGTTTCTCCTGTCTGGTAATGTTTCTTGTTATATAGTCTTCAACTATACACATGAATTCATGTAGAGATACTCTATGTGTAATTTCACAAAAAAATTTTTTGAAAAAATCAGTAACTACTTGTTCTAGTTTGTTTTCAATTGCTATGACAAAATAATCTGACCAATACCAACTTGGGGAGAAAAGAGTTTATTTGGCTTACATCTCCCAGGTCACAGTTCATCACTGAGGGAACCCAAGATAGAAACTCAGAACAGGAACCTGGAAGCAGGAGCTGAAGCACAGGCCATGGAGAAACACTACTTACTGGCTTGGTCCTCTGATCCATGCTCAGGCTGCTTTCTTATACAATATAGAACTTCCCAGGGGCAGCACCACTCACAGTGGACTGAACACTCCCACATCACTCAACACTCAAGAAAATGCCTCACAGACCTGACACAAGTCAGTCCAATGGAGGCAATTTCCCAGTTGAGGCTCTCTCTACCCAGGTGTGTCAAGTTGACAACTAAAGATATCTAGCACACCACCAAAAAATAATTTTAATGAAGAAGCTTCCAAAGCTTGATGCATTCAACTTTGGTCTACCAAAAGGCTCAGCAGGTATGCTGGATAACTTTAGTGTCAACTTGACACACCTGCATTGAGGGAGCCTCAATTAGGGAATTGTCTTCATTGGATTGGCCTGTGGCCATGTCCATGGGGCACCTTCTTGATTGTCAAATGATGTGGGAGGGCCAAGCCCACTGTGGGTGGTGCCACCCCTGGGCAGGTGGGCCTGTGTTGCATAAGAAAGCAGGCTGAGCAGGGGTGAGGAGAGCAAGCCAGTAAGCAGTGTTCCTCCATGGCCTGTGCTCCAGCTCCTGCCTCCAGGTTCCTGCCCTGAGTTCCTACCTTGGGCTCCCTGATGAACTGCGACCTGGGAGAAGTAAGCTGAATAAACCCTTTCCTCCCCAAGTTGGTAGTGGTCAGTGTGTTTTGTCACAGCAATGGAGAAACAAACTAGGACAGCAGGTATGATGCATGAGGTGTCTTGAGGGAAGAATGACTACCATACAAAGAGCAGCCCTGCCCTCCAGGGGATTTGCATCCCTAGTTTTAGCAAACATTGGACTTTCTATTTATTCATGAGTTGAAATAGCTATAAATTCACATTCATCTGCCTTACTAACTGGCAAATCTACCTACAGCATGCTTATTAAATCATCCATCTCCATTTGTGTCAGGATGCATTAAAATTATAATTACTCTTCTAGTATTGATTCTTAAACTTTGTCCTGAGCAAGCATTATTCATATCAAGACAGAGATGGTTTTCTTGCTTCCTAAACATACTTTCCATATTCTTTCCTATGGACATGTTGTCCAAGACCAAGGTCACTGTTCCCTGATATGATCTCTGACAAGCCCTGAGAATCACTTTCTCTGGCAGCATGGACTTAGTTAATTAATTTACTAGTTATGCTTTCATGTGATTATATCTTAACATGACTATTGGAATATAGAATTCATAATGATCAAAATGTCAAATATATCCAACCAGAGAAACCTATCAGCACATTTTATTAATATAAGTGTTTAAAAATCAGATGCCAGTTGATTAGAGAAACTGAAAGCCATCATGGATTGCATGTCATCATTGTCAACAACAGGATGTGGCCAAGGAAAGCAGGGTTCAAACTTAATTCTACAGCTTACCAGCAGTATAGCCTTGAGCATCTCATCTCCTTCCACCTCACCTTGTCACAATGAAAAGGAAAGTATAATGCTGTTGTAAGATATGTTTAGACAGATTACTGTGTTTGTCATATTTTTTATTACTGTGCCACAATACCTGACAGAAACAACTAAAAGGAGGAAGAGTTAATTTTGACTCTTGTTTTCAGAAGTTTCAATCCATCATGATAGGGAGAACCAGGGCAAAGCCCAACAGCCAGGAAGCAGACCTGAACAGTCATAGGAAGAGACTGGTACAAGATACAGCTCCCAAGAACACGCCCCCAGTGACTCACCTCCTCCAACCAGACCCTAATTTCCACATTTCCACTCCTACTCTATAGTCTACTCAGGTTTTTAATCTATCAATGTGTTAATCATTTGTTAGGTCAGAGCTGTCTCTGGAAAATACTTCACAGATAGACCCAGAAGTGTGCTTTGCTACTGTCTTAATTCTCAATCCAATCAACTTGACAAGATTAATCATCACAGACACCAACCTTTTTAGTGCTACTAGGTGGCTACTTGATATTTCACTCAGGTAAAAAGCCACCTTCATGCTTGTTTCAGTAGGACATAAATGAAAATTATAACAATACAGAGATTAACACGGCCCATTAGCAAGGATGGCATGCAAATTTGTGAAGCAGTCCATAATTTTACAGCAAAAGAAACAACCAAAAAAGTAAAAAGAAAACCCACTAAGTGGGAGAAAATATCCACCTGCTACACATCTGACAGAAGATTAAGATGCAGAATATATAAAGAACTCAAAAAAAATAGAGAAACAAGAAAATAGATGATCCAATAAAAAGATGGGCTAAGGACTTGAACAGAGTTCTCAAGCAAAAAAATAAAAATGGCTAAGAAACACTTAAAAGTGTTCAACATCCTTAGTAATTAGAGAAATACAGATCAAAACCATTTTAAGATTCCATCTTACCCCAGACAAACTGGCTAAGACCAAAAGAACAAAAAGATAGCAAATGCTGATGAGGATGTAGAAAAAGGAGAACGCTCATTCACTGCTGGTGGGAATGCAAACTTGAGCAACCACTATGGAAAGTAGTATGAAGAACTTTTTAAAAACTATAATGAGTCTACCATATGATCTGGTTATACTATTTCTTGGCATATACCCAAAAGACTCATTGTACTATAGAGATACCTGTACATCCATGTTTGTTGCTGCTCTTTTTACAATAGCTAAGAAATGGAAACAACCTAAATGTACCTCAGCTGATGAATGGATAACTCCATTTACACAATGGAGTTCTACTCAGCAGTAAGGAAAGATGAAATCATGAAATTTGCAGGTAAATGGGTGCAACTAGAAACTTTTATACTGTGAAGTAACATAGACTCAGAAAAGCAAGTGAGGTATGTTCTCCCTCATTTGAAGATCATAGCACCAATCCCATATATGTGAGTATATATCCTTCTGCAACTGCAGAAGCCAGAAAAATGGAAAGGAAACATAGAAGTAAAGGGAAAGAAAGAGCTCAAAAGAAGGGGATGTAGGGAACAAATGTTACCAGGGGGAATATGGGGCTATTCAACTGGGAAGGGAGAAGGGAAGGACACACAAGGAAACTTGGGGTTGAAGGGGAAAAAGGAACTCAAGAGGGGGCAGATTATAGGAGACAGGTATTATCAATGAGGAAATTGGGGCACTTAAACTGAGGAGGGAGGAGGGAAGTTAGACAGGGAGAGAGAGGAGAGATAAATAAAGCTTAGGTGCCATAAAAAGCTAGAGGGAAATGAATTAACTCAAAAAACCCCTGAAAACTATGCATACAATATCTGAACATCAGTGCATGTGGCTGAAGGCTACATAACAATGAACACAGTGCCAGACAGGAGCAACCTCCCTTTTAGCCACCATTGGTCAGTAGTCCAAGAGATTCCCAAAATAACACGAGCTATTGCCACAGCCCTTGATTACCTCCCAGAACTTCAAGGTAAAACCCTACTGCAGTACACAGGACATACTTTGGACAGGACTTGAAGCAACGAAGCTGGAACTGACCTTGAAGCCTTCTTGTTGAAGACTCATAGTTCTAGAGGATACTATGCAAGTTGCTAAGGGAGAAAAATAAACTTTCCAGCCCAGTTCTAAAGCCTAATAACCACAACAACTGGCGCAGCAAACTACCTCTATTGATGCAGTAGTGGCACTGTTATCTAGGACTAACTAACTGGCCTCTGTCTAACAGCTTTCTAACACCCCTCTCAGTGGGAGGGAACTCATGGACGACACTGTAAATATAGCCAAATGCACATGGCCAGAGAGGTCATAGATCCTAGAGAAAACCCTATCTCTGGCATATCTTCTAGACAAATGAAATTTCTTACCATGTGCTAAATATGGATCATTACATTTATAGATAAATGTCCTGCACATCACTAACCAAAGAAGCTTCTTTTTGCAACAGATGGAGGTTATTAGAGTTCCACAGCTGGTCACACACAGAGAATACATGTCCGAGAGATGCCAAGTCCTAAGTGACACAGTGGCACCTCTACACCTAAGGCTCATGGAACATAGTGGAATAGGGGGTAGACAGAATACTAATACATCCCTCTCTTCTCACCTGTGAAGCTTCCTCATACAACAGAATGTGATGCACAAAGAAAGCTACAACTGTCTAAGTTTTAGAGAATAGGAGACTGCAGAGTGTGTCCCTGGATAGGACTCCTAGATTAAACCTCACCCACCCACAGCTCAGGGAGGTTTGCAGAAGAATGGGCAAATAAGAGCCAAGGTTGGTCCATGAACATAGGGAAGCAGAGGCTTTCAGACCACTGTAAACTTGTTCATTTGAACTTGCAGCAATGCTGACAGCATTCACAAGACCCATGCTGACTCAGATAAAAACCCAGCATAGAATGGGAGAAATGGGAAGTAAGCCCCAACCCTAGCCAAGGAACTATTACTGGCAAGTGATTACTGTAGGGTGAAGGAGAATAAATCTTCTTTAAGGGGGTGACTCTAGATAGGTTGACTAGACTCCAGTGGATGAACTTGTACTGAGAGACACTTGAATAGAAATGCTTGACTGAATAGGTCTTAACATATATGACAGAATACCTGAAATCTGGTGGGGGAGGCTACAGGGGTGGAGAGGGAAGAGGGGGTCTAAATTTGATTAAGATGCATTATGTGAAATGCCCAAAATCTCAATAAAATATTGAAAATGAAAACAAAACCATCTCATGTTTTTTGGCTTCAATGAAGAGCCAGAGACTTGCCAAGTATTTCTGATCTTCTTTCCAGTTTTGTGGAGTAGATACCTCTTTTTTCTTCCTCATTCTCTTCCAACACTCTTCTCATCCTCTCCCCAGTTTCCATTTTCATCAGCTTTGTTTTCATCTTCTTCCATTTCCTGACTGGAATCTGACCATGAGTAGAAAATGATCAATTGAACAAACATTATTGAGAACCTACAATGTGCCAGGCATTACTCTCAATGTCATGGGAAACAAACGGGTGAGCACAGAACCTTCATTGTAGTTGAGGTAAGTAACAACTAACGAACTTCATAGATAATTTACACAGTATGCTAGATCCTGAAAAATGTTGGTGATAGAGGAAGAGTAGGAATAAAAGATCAGATGTTGTAGGTAGAATCCATTACAAATAGCTCACTAAGAGTAGATATCACCAGAGACATGATTTTTAGAGCAAGGCTGTGCACAGATGAGGAAGGGAGCCATACCAGTGATTGAGAGAGGAGTACAGGCAGGACAGCCAGTGCCCCATAGTGGGAGGTGGGAGAAGCACTGGGTTCTAGGAACATCAAGACAGCCAGTGTAGCTAAAGAAGGAAGAAAATAGAACCCAGTGGAGATGTCTTTGTGAATAACACTGATTCTTACTCTGTGTGAAAGAATCAATTCTTTTCTAACTTCTGTTTCTAACAGGCCATTCTAGGGTTGGGGGTGTAGCTCAGCACAGTACTTGCCTAGTATGCACCAAGCCCTGGGTTCAATCCCCAGCACTGCATATACTTAAGCATGCCTGGAATCCCAGCACTAGAGTAGTAGAAACAGGAGGATGAGTTCAAGGTTATCCTTGGCAGCACAGCATATTTGAAACCAGCCTGGGATACAAAAGGTCTTAGGTCAAAAATAAATAGTAAAAGAAAAGAAAATGAAAGAATGAAAAGAAAGAGAGGGAGGGAGGGAGGGAGGGAGAGAGGGAGAGAGGGAGGAAGGGAGGAAAGGAGGAAGGAAGGAAAGAAGGAAGGAAAAGTATAAGTAAGTAAATAAAGAATGATTCCAGCTTCTAGACTTGGAATGGACTATAGAGAGGAATGAACATAAAAGAAGGGTCTTAAATATCCAGGCAACAGTGATGGCTATTTGGGGCAGGGTGATTGTAGTTGTACTGATACCAAGTATGGAAGCTAATGCCATGAAAAAAAAACAATGTATAAGAATAAATATTGGAGTGAAAGATAGGCTTGAAGCAGTGGCCGAAGAATGGAGAAGCAGCTCCTTGTTTTCCAATTAGCATCTCAACCCCAGGGAGTTAAGAAATTACAGATAAAAAAATAAGGATAATGAAAGGGTCACCACAGTTGGTAAGTACCATTAGCTTTGAACTGGGAGAGGTAGATAAGCAAGTCTAGGACAAGTTTACAATGTACTGTAGTTTTGATAAAACATTTCTCAAATGATCAACATATCTACTTGCAGAGCTAAAGAGAACCTGGCTCAAAGGTTAGGCAGTCAATGAAACAAGACAGAAATGCCAACCATTTGTATTCTATGAGCATGTCAGATTGAAGAGTCAGTGTTTTTGGGAAAAAAAAAGTGACTTCAGGTCCCTGAAAAGTAACCTAAGCAGTCAGTATCATCACATCCCACATGACAGAGCTGTGGTCTATGACAAGATAGAACACAAAATGTTGTTCAGCTGTAGAATCTAAAAAGCAACGATTTTTAAGTCACTCAAGAGCAAGTGAAGCTGGGGTGTTGACTCAGGTTTTTTCCACAGTAATGGAGGTGAAGAAAATAAGGAGTAATCTGGGGCTGGATATATTTTAGAAGAGGAGGGAAATGGGGAAAATGGTGATATTAAACTGGGAACAGTAATGGAGGTGAAGAAAATAAGGAGTAATCTGGGGCTGGATATATTTTAGAAGTAAAGTCAATAGGACTTCCCAAGAAAGGTTGGATGAGGATTGTGAGAGACAGAGGAAAAAGAATAGCTCTTCTGAGACTTCAGAGATGGCTAAGAGTGTTATGCTCTTGCAGAAGACCAAAGTTTGGCTCCCAGCACCTATATCAGATGTCTTACAACAGCCTGTAACTCCAGATACAGGGTATCCAACACTGCTTTCTGGCCTCTGTAGGCACATGCACACACACACACACACACACATGCATGCGCGCACACACACACACACACACACGTGCACACACACACACACACACAACTAAATTATTCTTCAGTTATTTTTTAAAAAGAGAATCGTGTTTCTAATTTTACAGCCCAAAAATCTATAATCCGGCAAACCAGAGAAAGCAAGTTTTAGTGGAAACATCAAGAGTTTAGTTTTAGAAATAATGGTAGTTCACAGTCTATCAGAGAACCAAAAGACAATGGCATACAGCATTCAGGAGCTAAAGGACAGGTTTAAATTTGATAAACATG